AGTTAAACAATCCTAGTGGACGTCTAGCAAGATGGGCTGCTAGAATTTCCCAATTTACATTTCAAATTGTTCACAAGAAAGGTTCCTTACACTTAGTCCCAGATGCTTTATCTCGTATTGAGACATCTACAATTTTGGTTTCCGCTATACAAGTTGTCTCACCCGATGATGATATTGTTGACCCTTGGTATAGAAAAGTATTCGTTAATTGTCAAAAGTTCCCTTCTAGATATAAAAATTTCAGGGTTGATGACAACACATTATATAAATTTTGTAAGAATAAATTCAATCCGGATAGTAGATTAAATTGGAAAATTGTTATTCCTAAGGAACATATTCTTGATACTATTAAGTCTAACCATGATGATATTAATTCTGGTCATCTTGGGATTCATAAAACCACTAAGAAATTAAAACAACATTATGTTTGGAACGGTATGTTTAATGATGTTCAAAATTACATTAGATCTTGTGACATTTGTAAAGCCTATAAGCATAGCACTTCTCAACCTTTTGGCATTATGGTTAACCCTAAGAAAGTAGACCGCCCTATGGTCATGCTTTCAGTTGATATAATTGGAATTTTGCCTAAAAGTTATTCTGGACATAAATATATTCTTTCGGTTGTAGATGTTTTCACAAAATTTTGCTGGGTTTTTCCCTTAGTAAAAGCAACCACCTTATCCATTTGTAGAATCCTTGAAAAAGAGATATTTCTTAAATTTGGTTGTCCTAAATTAATAGTTTGTGATAATGGTACTCAATTCACTTCTAAACATTTTGTAGATTTCATGAAAGGGTTACAACATTACTAAAAAATTTTATAACACTTTGTACACACCTCAGAATAACCCTGTGGAGAGGTACAATAAGACAGTAGAGACTTGTATTTCCTGTTTTGTTAAAGAGGATCAACGTTCTTGGTCCAAATTTTTGCCTCACGTTCAATTAGCTTTAAATAGTAGTGTAAATTTGGCTACTGATTTTACACCTAATTTTCTTATGTTTGGTAGAGAGTTGATTGTTGATGCTTCTCTACACCGTTTTAGTAATTCTTTGGAGTAATTTAGACCAGCTTAAGTTTGGTGAAAGGGACTCTTATGCCCTTTCTCTTAAATCACTTAGTGATATTTTTGTTAGAGTTGAGTCACATTTGTTGAAAGGCGTATAAACGTAATGCGCGTTATTATAATATTGGTAAGGAAAGACTATTTCTTTTGATGTTGGTGATATTGTTTGGAGAAGAAGTTTTGTTCAGTCTAATGCTCCAGCTTATTTTTCGGCAAAGCTTGCACCTAAGTTTGTTAAATGTAAAATTATAGAGAAGATTTCAGATAACGTTTACTTTTTGCAGGACCTTTCAAAGAACACCTCTGGTCGCTATCATATTAAAGATATTATTAAATATTAAAATTTCACTATTCGGTCATTAACTTTAGGTCTTAATTTGATATATTGTTGAGATTTTGCTTTTGTGTGAGGATGTATGTAATTTGATGTATGCTAGGTTATAGCAATTTGTATGTTGATGTAGTGTGAGGTATTCATCGATATATTAATTTTAGGGTTTAAATGTTCAAAAGTTTACTTAGGTCCTTTTGGTTTATTAATTTAGGAACTTCATTCATAATAGGAACCACATCAAAAGAATATTTTGTTTGTATTTTATTTGCGTTTCTACCTAGTGTAGAGTGTTTTGTTGGAGTTAGGTTCGCCCTCTTTTCAAGGGTTGAACAGGTTGTTTGTTGGATTCACACTTTTTTTCAGGTGTTGAATGTTTTGCTTCTTGTTGGATTCACAAACTTTTTTCAGGTGTTGAATGATTTGTTTTTTTTGTCGGTTTCACACTTTTTTTCAGGTGATGATTGGTTTGTTGGTTGGATTCACGTTTTTTTTAAGCGTTGGATGTTTTTGTTTGGTTTCTGTTGCATTGTGCCCGGTAGTTCGTTGGTGTTGTGCCGATCACAATGCACAGGTTTTTTATATATTCACACCGTCTTGTTGTGTTGAATATTTTTGTTTGGTTTCTGTTGTATTGTGCCCGGTAGTTCGGTGGTGTTGAGCCGATCACAATACACAGGTTTTTTATATATTCTCCCCGCCTTGTTGGGATGAATATTTTTGTTTGGTTTCTGTTGTATTGTGCCCGGTAGTTCGGTGGTGTTGTGCCGATCACAATACACAGGTTTTTTATATATTCACACCGTCTTGTTGTGTTGAATATTTTTGTTTGGTTTCTGTTGCATTGTGCCCGGTAGTTCGGTAGTGTTGAGCCGATCACAATGCACAGGTTTTTATATATTCTCCCCGCCTTGTTGGGATGAATATTTTGTTTGGTTCGACATGTTTGACATGTGTTTGAATGTTAGGGTGAAGCAGTTTGCAGCTCCATTAGAGTCGGTGACGAGGGTGTCCAACCGCACTTCGTGGAAACTGGTATCTTTTTAGATATACAGTTCCCAATGGAAGCAGTTTGTGTAGTATATTTTGTTGTGTTTGAAGCTCCATTAGAGTCGGTGACGAGGGTGTCCAACCGCACTTTTTGGACTTTCCAGTCTTAATGGTAGCTTGGTTTAGGGATTTGTTTTTGGGTTTGTGTGATTCTGTTGTAGAGTATATTTTGATCTTATATTTAGTTTCCTAGTCCTTTTTGGCGTATGGATTTTTGTATTCCTGGAGTTTGTAGAGTTTTAGTGGAGTTTGGTAGAGTCAGTTTTGGAGTTTAGATATTTTGCAATCTTTTTGTTTGATATGTTTGTTGAGTGGTGAATTTTCAGCATAAAAGAAAGAGTCCTTTCTTTTATTTTTTTTCGGGAAGGTATGTAATGTAACGGTGCATTTCGCACCATTACAGTAATTTGAACCTTAGTCTCGTTTTTGTTTTGTTAGGTTGAATTTTTTGTCGTTTCTGCGTGTGCCGATGGTCGAGGGACGGACGAGAGTAATAATCGATGTTGTTCGCCCGCGATCAGTTAGTCGATTTAGTTTTTCTTGTCCTGGCAACATTTTTTTTCCCCGCTCTAAGGAGCGACAGGCTTTTGCACTGGCAACACGTTGGCTTCACTTTTGGACCGACCGCCGAATGAAATGAAGCGCAGCAAGTTTTGTCATTTAATTTTTTAGTAATCCTTATTTATTTGATATGGACGAGGGCCTATTTCCTCTTTAAATGTTCGGCCAACCTAGTTAGGACTCGAGCTATTGGTTCGAGTGATTATTTTTGTTGAAAAGGTAAGTTTTGTTCGGCCACGTGCTTCACGCTTGGCTTGGCGGAATTTGTGGTTTTAACTCTTTGTTTAATTGGTTACAGGCAATGCTTATAATGCCGCTGCTTGATTTGTGAAACATTTTGGGACCCTGGTAAGTGAAGTATGATTTCTTGTCAGAGTTATGATTCATCTTATGAGATAGGCTTTTAACCTATAATTTTTCCTTATTTGCAGATGAATCAGGGTTTTTGGTTTATATCTAAAGTTTTAATTATACTCTATTTTCCTTTTATACCTAAATTTCTTTACATTCTTATTGGAATGTCATTGCGTGGCATTCGGATTTTTGTCTCTCGCCGGAGTTTGACCCCAAGAAATTAGATTGCTGTGGAGCACCGGATTGGTAGAAAAAGCTGCTTAGCTGCACGCCAGTGTCTGGAGCCGGGGAGTGCTAACCCGCCTTTTCCACCACGTGGGAGCCGGAGTGAGAAGTTTCGGAGTTGGGTTTGATTTCATTTCATTCGGACTGATCCAAGGTCATCGGTATGTGTTTTGTTATATTTTTCTTGGCGACGTGGCATTGAATACTGCAGGTCCCCAAGGGGTGTTATTTTTATTAGAGAGTAGGTCAATGCTATGTCTACCCTTAGAGTTTATTGTTTTGTCTATTAAGTCTTTATGCGACTTTTTTTTTAAAACCTATACAGGTCCCCAAAGGGGTTAATTTTAATTAAGGGAGTAGGGCGTTGCTACAACTACCCTTATACTCTTTTCTTTTTGGGTCTTCATGTGACTCTTTAAAACTTATTTAACCTTATATTTTTCTTATTGAAAAGGATTGCATTAATGACAGTACTAATTTGTGTATAAGAATTACCTAATGTAATTAGAGACATAAGACACATTGTACTCTACCGACACTACGGGATAATAAACTGCCATTAGAACTTAACACCTTGTATTCATTAGCTGCCTCCCGCTTTGTTTTAAAAAGGTTCAATGTTGGCTGAGATGTCCGAGGTATTTGTTGTGTTTGTGGTGGGTTCTGTGTTCTTTTAAGGTGGTATCTGGCGTCCGAGACTTTATTTTGTTATTTTGTTTCTATTTGATGCCACCAATTTAGTTTTATTTCCTTTAAAACACACCCCACAACATATAAAATTTAAATTTTTTAATTTTTTATTATTACAATAAGAACATAAACTTTACTGTTGGAATCACAATAGAAATACAAACAATTATCACTCTCAGTTTTCATAAAATTTAGGCTCAACATAAAAGTATTAAACTCTTCATACCATAACTTAAGGCCATACAGAGCTTTATTTAATTTACACAATTTACCTTCTGGTACTTTAAAGTTCTCTGGCAAGGTTATATAGATATTATCCTTTATGACACCATAAAGAAATGCACTACATACATCTAACTGCATTATAGGCCATTTATTTTTGTTACATATGACTAACAATGTTTTCACTGTCACTATTTTAATTACACCAGTGATTAATATAATATAATAGACTTCACTAAAACACAAATCAAAAGCAAAGCCTCTTGCCATTAATCTTGCTTTATACTTTTGAATCTTTCCATCTTTGTTATGTTTAATTTTGAACACCTATTTAGTATCAACTATCATTACACTGGAATCACGCTTGTCAACAAATGACCATGTATTATTCTCAGCAAGAGAATTCATCTCTGCATTCATGGCTTGTTTCCATTCAGCGGCATGAGATGAAGACTCAGCTTCTTTTAGGTTACTCGGTTCATCTGGATTTGTTACCATTAAACATGATTCTTCAAATTCAAACCTCTGGGGTTTCTTTTAACCCTTTGTGATCTTCTCGGTATTACTGCCAGTTCGGCATCATGGTACTCATCAGGAGTCTCTTTGACATTTTCATAACTTTCTTGTAACTCCTCATGAATTTCTTGTTCATTTCCATTCTTTGCTATTGGTGATGTGATGTCAATAGCCGGTTGATTATGTCTTTGCAGATATCTGAATTCAGTATATCTGAGTCTTGTCCAGTTTCAATAAAGTTTGTTTACTCGCTTTTATACATTTATTTTCTGAGTTAAGTGTAGGCGCAATAACTACTTCTCGTCCATTGAAAATTTCCCACTCTCTTGATAATAGATTCTATGACCTTTGGTGGTCTCTCCATAGCCAACAAACAAACCCTTTTTACTTTTACTGTCTACAATTGTGCTATAATTGTCAGGTAGCGACATCAATATTTTAGTAATGGTCATTTTATCTGAAATTTCATCTCCTGCTTGTTTCAGTTTTACCCTTATTTCTTCAATTTTAGATAGAAGATTAAGTACAGTATCTTCAAAAGATATGTTGAAGAACTTCTGCTGTAGTAGATGTATACTGAAAGCAGACTATCCCTATCATATACTGCTATTAACTTTTCTGCATCAGGTGAGCGTTCTCGCATGATAGTAGGTGAATTTGCGGCCTTGACTCCATGCGCGTCACTATAACAGACACTATAACAGCTTTGGAATCTTTTAGCCCTGTGGCCAGTACCTTCAGTTAGTCTTACCGTGAGTTATCTTCTTTTGGTTCTAGTGATTTTCCAGATACAATATCGAACAATCCTAAGCCTTTTAATACTATGCTTGTTTCGAACTTCCAAGTCTCCCAGTTGTTCTTCCCAGACAGTTTTGTTACGTCTTTGTACAACGCCATTTTTACACTGCACCACGTGGCGTGCGTCTCCGAAAAAAATATGTTTTTCTTTTTAATTAACTTCCAAGAGTTTTACTTTTTATTTTTATGGACTAGGCCCATAACCTGTGATTGTGAAATACCTTTTATTATAAACTATAACCTTTTAATAAGCAGAGCAACGCACCTGCAACCATTACATTTTGCGAAAGAGGAAGTTGATCACACATTATCATAGAGAATAGAAAGACTAAGTGTCATTATTTATGGTACTTTTGTTGATATGCATTCCAAAATGCTACAAAAACGATGTGTTAAAACTTTATTTCGTCTCGCGCTCACTAAGGAGGGAAGGGGATTTATTATATTTTGCAACTCCTCCAATTTTCTTCTCATCAATTTTGTTGCGGGTTCCAAGACATTTTATTTTTTTCCTGGGACTTCTGGGTCACTGCTGTTGATCCTGGAGTACTGGAGTTATAGTTTTGGGGCGATTAGTCCCATTTAAACAGAAATACAACTTTATAAGTCTATTTGCAGTTGGAAACTACAGATGGCAGGCCTATACTGGCTTGCTACATATGTAGTGCAAGGCTCAAGAACTGCTACGAGTTGAAGAAGAGCTGTCTCCAGAGTGAGGAGCTGTTCACACAAATGCTGAGGTATAACAAGGTTGGTTATAGTTTCATAACATGGAATTGTCTTTAAATTAAAAAAAGAACTAGGATGCCACTTCCAATAGGGTTTGAATGACATGATAACTATTTTATTAAAACTATTTTCAATACAACAAATGCCTTAATTAATTTGTTAAAGGTTTGTGGTCAATAGCGATATGTGAGTGTGTGTGCATGTAATTTCATAGCTAACACTGCTACCTCTAGAAAATTATCTGGTTTTGAATAGTTCAAACAAATAAAACATAAGCTACTACTCTATATGATTGAGTTGCAACTTCTGTATTTTAGTAACAGGTACAAGGGAAATAATATAAAATATAATAGCTGACAATTTTCTGTACATGAAGTAACGGTACTTATTATAAACCTTAGTGATTTTACAGTACTAAAAATCCAAAAATGTTATTTACCTACATTGTTTGTGTTAAATAACTTGAAAAAAAAAGCTGATGCCCATGATCGTTTGCATGGAATTTGAAAAGTGCTGCCTTAGTGGTGTAGTACGGGACGCTCCCGGACCGCTTTAAAGGTTATTTAAACTGGCTTTTAGAACATAGATATCATGCAAACAACTGTGTGAGCATGAAAAAACCTTTTTTTTACAACGTCTTATAAATTGGTTTGCCGGGTGACACTTCAAGAAACTGCGTTACGCTCCGCTCACGTTATGCGCTCACAATGAGAGCGAGTGAGAGGCACGCGTCCCTTCCACTCGGGCATGGTTAGCCCGCCTAAGAGCGAGAGAGACAGACTATACTATACGAATATACTATACGAATGAATATTTACATTAAAATTATTTTACCACTCAAAGTCGTTGTCACGTAAAACTTTCGCCCGTATACCGACTTTACAGGCAACCAGTTTTTACATTACAAATAGACACATAGACAAGTGTTAATATTTTTGTCTTATTTAATATAATTTTATATGGCAATAATTTTACAGAAATTTTAATTAAGTAATGTGAAGAACAGAATAATAATAGTCTCTAAGAAATGATGATCTTAAACTAAATACAATACCATGCCTCACGAACTACACTGTCTGTAGTCACAAACAGGCCACACCCAGTGCAACTAGGCTGAATTGTCAGTCGATTCAAAGGTATGTTACCTTTTGTGTTGTATCTGTGTTAGTTATATGTAAATAATTTAACTTGCCAACAGCTTGAAGCAGTGAAACTGAAAAAAATAAACGATAAGAAGAGACTCACCATACACAATGTCCTGCACTTGAGCGTGGGACATGTACTGGAGATAAATACGGTTGATGTTGGTGTGGAGGCTCTGACGATTGATGTGAAATTCGAACAAACTGATCCTGAAGGTAATATTTTATATTTAAGTAAAATTTCTGGGTAATTCTTTCTCTACATTACAAACTCACTCAAATGGGACTCAATGTTGTTTACAGATATCAATGAGGACGCTCTGAAAGAAAACAATGACTCTGACAATGTACAATCTGCAGACTCAGACGATGATCCTCTGATGATTGTGAAGAAAGAACAGTCAAGTAAGTATACTCTGTATTTTTCCTATAAATACACAACTCTCTCACTAAGAGCGGTTTCTGTGCCACCAGGTACTTTATAAACATTTACACGGACACGAAACACCGAAAGCAAATTGTTGGGCGATTTGTCGGATGATTTGTTTATGGTTCCAAATTCAAATTTTTGTTGTTGTTGTTATTTATATTAAATACAGTGTTGTTTTTAGTTATATCATATCTAGTGTGTATTGCGAATTTTAAAAATGGACATAACATCGAACAAAGAGTTTGTCTTAAATTTTGCATCGCCAATGGAATTTCGTGTTCGGTGTCACATGTTTCAGACGGCTTACGGTGAAACGACTTTATTAAAAACAGGTGCTTATGCCACTCAAAGAATACAAAGCGTTCAAAAGCGGTCGAGATGTGGTGGAAGATTTGCCTCGCTCTGGTAGGCCATCAACGTCTGCAACTAACCGACCTAACATTCATGAAACGCATTGTTACTGGTGACGAGACGTGGGTACGTTACGAGTTTGACATGCAAACTAGTCAACAAGCTTCGGAGTGGCGCTTTCCAACTGAACCGAAACCGAAAAACCACGCCAAAGTCGATCAAAAGTCAAAGTCATGTTGACTGTATTCTTTAACTATCGCGGTGTTGTGCACTCTGAATTCTTGCCGGAAGGTCAAACGGTAAATAAATAATACTATTTTAAAATTCTTGGATTTTGCACCACGATAATGCGCCTTCGCACAAGGCCATCATTGTGAACGAATTTTTGACCAAATACTCAACGAATACCATCGAGCAACCACCATATTCACCAGACATTTCTCCAGCCGACTTCTTTCTTTTTCCTAAACTCAAATTACCACTTCGTGGCACCGTTTTCAATCGGTAGAAGACATAAAGGAGAATTCGCGGCGAGAACTGAACTCAATTCCGGAAACAGCGTTTAAACAATGTTTTGATGATTGGATTATTCGTTGGCGTAAGTGTATCGTTTCTGAAGGAGCATACTTTGAAGGTGATAAAATAAATTTGGATGAATAACAAACATTTTGTGTATTATTGATCTTTTCCCGGTACTTTCTTGACAGAGTAGTACCTAAATTTACAAGAGTTATTAACTTCATCAACTAGTGGAAGATATCTACGAATATAGTGATTATAAGTTCGAGAAAAACTTCAACAGGGATGCAGCACATAATTACAACGTCAAATAAGTTAATTTTAAAATAAGTAAAAATTGAGCATACCGAGGAAACGCTGAAGTTTCTTGATGGTCTTCGTTGACGCTGCATTTACCGATACAGTACGCCGGGCACGCCACTTCTGGACAGGGATTTCATGTCGCTTTTTAATGGGCAATGTGCGGCTGTAAACCCACCTATGCCATCTCCATCACCGTTGCAGACATCTTCTACGATGAGACGTTTACCGGGTGCTTATTCTGCCACCATCGTCACCAAATGTGGTGGGGCGCAATTCACCAAGAAGGAGAATCGAACTTTACGAACCAAGTACGATGACATGACCATGTATGGAAGAGGAGGATGTAGAGGATCCTCTACCTACAGTAGGAGAATAGCAAGCTCATCTCAGGAATTCGCCACGAGTTACTGGAGAGGGAGAAGATAACTCTGAGGGTGTGCCAAAAGAATTAGAAACAGTACCTGAGGCACTGAGTGAAACTCCGACACAGAGTTCTACACCACCAACTAGGTCATTACTGAAACGTCCAGAGATTTAATACAGAAAGGAAAGCCCTAGTACCCCGACATAACTCAGGCCATCTACGGCTTTTTTTTTTTTTTTTAAATGGGACTAATCCCACCCACACGCCCACCACTGTAACTCCTGTACACCAGGATCCACAGCAGTGACCCACGAACACACCGAGTTATGACACTCGGGAAGTCCCAGGAAGAAATTAAACTGTCTTGGAACCCGCAACGAAATTAATCAGAAGAAAATTGGAGGAGTTGGAAATACAGTAAATCCACTTCCCTCCTTAGCAAAGCGGGAGACAAAATGAAGTAAAATAGGCATACACCCTTTTAAACAGGGAAGCACCACGGCCACAAAATATTACGGGTCCTACATGAGCTATATTTGATTTCTATAATATGTATGGCAGAATCGCCTAAACGCACGGAAATTCACCCTAGTTGACACAAGATCCCCATAGTATACCGCCCCAGATGTCACCTGCAAGCTATTCAGCATTATATTACGTTCATTATACCAAAGACTACATTCCCAGAGGATATGATGAGCAGACTGTTCATAATGAGAGTTAGGTGTTGAGCATTGACACAATGGTGACTCGACTAATTTAAATGAATACAACTTGCTCTTAAAGTTACCATGACCCGTAAGAAATTGAGCGACACAGTGATCCACCTCAAGCCATGTCCTCGACAACCGTTCGCGAACAGATGGAAAAAATTGGTAAAGATGGCGCCCCTTGGATGATTCGTCCCAGCGTTGCTGCCATTCGTCTATGAGGTCATTATAGACATCGGACTGCTGTTGAAGCAATCTTGTAATTTTACCGCGATCCCGCGCGCCCAAGAAATCGCATTCCATGTTTTGTCTTGAATAGTACATGGCTGCACGTCTCTGCACCTCGAGATCGACCGGAAGGACACCTGCCAACACCGGCAAAGCCTCAGTGCTAACCGTCCTATATGCCTTGCACAAAAATATCAGTGCCAGTCGTTGGCCTTGTAACAGTTTGCGACGGACAGCGCCTACGGTCGCCCTATCGGCCCATACAGGTGCACCATAGCACATAGAACCTAAATAAGTAGCTCCGTATATGATCTTTAATGTATTAAATGATAGACCCCATGTCGCAGTTGATATCCTTGTCAATGCACAGAAACTCTTTTTAGACTTTTCATTAACTATTTTAATATGTTCGATAAATGAAAAGTTTCTTTCTAAAACTAATCCTAGATAACACACTGTGGTTTTATTTTTTACAGTTACATTGTCAAATCTAATGCTCGGCGGTGATTTGAGGTTACCTTTTAAAAGTAACTGGAAGGTTTTGTTGGGTGCAAAAGTTAAGCGATTACGTTCACCCCATTGAGATATCAAGTTCAAACATCTATTGGCTAATCTCTCAAGCCCCGCCCTAGTATCAGATTCCACCAGTAATAAGCCGTCATCAGCATACGCGTTCAGAGTACATCCGGATGGTATTGGCATCGTAAGAAAATCGTCGAAGCCGATATTCCACAAGTATGGACCTAGCACCGATCCCTGAGGACATCCCATTGTAAGCGCCTTCGACACAGAATGATGACCAAGTCTTAGTTTAGTTGTACCTTGTGAAAAGTACGAAGAGATAAGGGAATAAATATTTTTAAAACACCCCCGTGATTTTAATTTCAGCAACAGCATGGGCCACCATGCGTTGTCGAAGGCGCCAGATATATCTAAGAAAATAGCCAGCACGTATTGAAATTTTGACTCTGTGACAAACTTTCTAACCGATATAACAGCGTCAGTTGTCGATTTACCCAACGTAAATCCAAATTGTCTATCATGAAATTTGACTCCACCTGGCAGAAGCCGGGGCACTACAAGACGTTCTAAAAGCTTTCCTAACGATGGTAACAATGTGATTGGTCGGTAGGATTTAGGATCATCCGGTGGCTTGTCGCCACTTTTTGGTATTATACGAATATTACCGCACCGCCATATACGAGGAAATATTCCTTCAGCAATGCAACGTTTAAAGACAGTGAAAATCGTGTCACCCGAAAGTTTACAAGCTTCTTTTATCATTTTGTTAGATATTTTATCATCACCCGAAGCCTTGTTTAGCGGCAAGGATCTAATGATACCGAGAAATTCGTCTGAAGATGGTAAATCAGACATTGGAGACAGTGGTGGTTCGATGGCCCACTGCCTGATCTGTCGGTGATGATCAGTGTCGTTTTCCGGTCGATCGTCAGGTACGAGTGAGTCTAAAAGATATTCTGCTGTTTGTTCGACTCCTGTGGTATATCTGTTATTAATTTTGATGTTCTGTATGTATGCGTGGTCGATTGATCTATTTGCCTTAAATTCGTGATACAAAGGTGACCACGGGCCCTCTCTATCGAGTTTATTAACAAGTTTCTGAATTAAGTTTCCCTTGGATTTTTCCACAGCAGCTCTGTAGTGGGACCTGGCAACTCTAAGAGCAATGAGAGCAATGTTGTACAAATCTCCTGTTACGTTATGTTTTTTAATAGTGTTTAATTTTCTACGAGCTTTCCGGTAGCTTCTACGTAGTTCGGCTAATCTATCATTCCACCAATCACATCTACGAGTGTTAGTGATAGATCCGCGACCAATAGTTACATCAGCGCAGTATGTGAAAGTTTCTGATAGTATTTCTGCGCTTTCCTCAGCTGATAAACTACTGCGACTGAAGTCTTTGGTATGACTTGCAAAGAGTGAACCAAACAAAGCCCAGTTCGCACCTTTAGTTTTATATCTAAAATTATAGGGAGCCCTTTGTGGATCCTGTGCAACCCTTGGTGTGAATTCGTACACGATCAAGCGGTGATCACTACAGGATGCGTCCGGAAGGACACGCCATCCGGATATCGAGACGTCGCCGCGCGTAAGCGTCACGTCAATAGAAGACTCACCCATTGGGTTGCAAAAAGTTGGTGGTGCATCGGGGGTATTGTGAATAATAAGATTCATTTCCGCAATGAAATCTTCAACCGCACAACGTCGAACCGTGTCGGTTGAACGCAACTTGCCATACCATAATGAAGATGACGCATTGACATCAGCGCCAATGATAATTTTATGTCCCACGAGGAACTGCAAGACGTAACGTAAGTGATGTAAGTGAGGATCAATAGGATGTGAATATTGAAAATAGCAGCTCACTACGTAAACCTTACAGGTAGAGGATGAGATCTCAGCAACGGCGCAGTGTGACGTCATAAGATTACGCAAAGATGTTACCGTAAAATTAGAACTTGCAACATATATCCCAGCCTGCGAACGGCAGTCAAGCTGTACTACATTACGACGCAAGTGAGCGCTCTGATATTGTTCTTGTAAAAGGACAATGTCTAACTTTTGTTCTAAAATTAAACGGTCTAATTCTGATGTAGCTATTTTATCGTTATGAAGATTTAACTGGCCTATCGAAATATTATTCATTACTTAGTAAGTTACTCTTTAAACTTTTTTTTTTTTTTTTTTTTTTTTTTTTTTTTTTTTTTTTTAAACTAAGTTAAACTATTCAGTAATTGGTATTTAATATTAGCTGTTCCAGTTTTAATTTGTATGTGGCACAGTCGTATGAGCCGCATCGATGGTCAGATGGTTTTTTGAACCGCTTACACTGTGCGCACGTGGGCTTAAAATCTGGTGTGTCTTTATCTGGACAAGCTCGCGTTTCGTGTGCGGCGGCGCAATTAGCACAAGTAGGGGTTTTAATAGTGCAAAACTTTTGTACATGACCGAATTGCTGACAATTTAAGCAACGAACTACTTCTATATCGTCTATGAATCTACATGTGGCCCAGTCTATATAAAGTTTATCTTTTGTGTTGGCTAGATGTTTCCGAACTGCTGCCTCTAATTCTAAGCCTATCCATTGACGCCCATTTTCTAGTTTACGATGCCTAACAATTTTGGTTGACTTCTACGGCATCTACGGCTTATAGATGACCCCTCCTGTGTGGGAACCCGGATGTTCCCTTCCTGCACAGAAGGGCGCGCGCGCTCCGTAGCGCGGCGCGCCGTTACCCACCCCGGCCTGCTTCTGCTAGAGTGACAGATGGCCTCACGTGTCACCCTCAGGCCTGCGCTTATGGAGGACGCAGGTCGCTCTGCGACTTCCGGCATGATGAGAGGGTATGAGAGGGTCCCGTGATGCCTCTCGAGCCAATCCTCCATAACGGGTGCTTTAGGTAATACCTCCGTGTTTTGTTGAGATGATTTACCTATTACGAGTATTAACCAGTGTTTAGTTTTCAAATGGTTGGATTTACATCATACAAATAGCAGTCCTGCGTATAATAAAGACAATACACACACACAATATTGGACAATGACGGTATCTTCCTTGGGGTTATAATAATAGTTAATTCGACGACAAGTAAACAAACAATATACTAAACTTGCGGATCGCCTAAATTTAACGTGGTTGTGTTTTTGTCACTAAAACAAAACCACGTTGACGAGTAACGCATGACATGTCGCGTCGTAGTGCGTGTCACAAACTACGTGCGAGTGTGCGTGCAATTCAGACGTAAAACAAAAGATTGAACGGCAACGTCGCTTGTAAAACGCTTTGCTGAGTAGATTAAAGGCGGCAATTTGGATAAATTTGAACCGGCCGATGCAAGGCCTAAAATTATGCAGGATCCCGCTGGATCGTGCGATCCCACTTGCTGCATTGCAATCCCTATTTTTAGCAAAATGCGTTTGTTTTTTGAGTCCCTGCTCTCCCAGAAAGTGAGAGGTTTCCCTTCAGTGAGCTAAGCACAGCAAGTGCAAAAATTGCTAAACACCAACTTTAGTAACAGCCTCAAAGAAAATCCAGCTCAACCGGAGTGATACTTCACTCCGGTTCAGCCGATCCATACATGCCGCAGCATGGCTCTTCCACG